CGTTTCCAATACGTTTGATATCGATCGATGATACATAGCGAGCATTGTAATAAATAGCTATATGTTAATGAGGTTTCAGGTGAGCTGGCGGGCGGTGCCAACCGGAGCCCCGCCCCGCCAGCCATTGTCTTCAAACTCCACTCGAAATTGAATAAATTAACGTTAAATTTAATAACTCTATTAACGTTTTGTCGACGCAAACAACTCCTGACGTATAATAGTTGAAACGTTTTCAGGGGCGGGTTCGTTATTAGATTAGATGCGCTCACTGTTTAGGGGGACGAAAAAGCTTTCCATACTGATTAATATCATGATCCAGATAAAATGCTGTTCACAACAATATTATGTTTATCTGATGTAAGAGCATGTCAACCATTGTTGTTGTTACTTGTCATGTTGTATGGGACAGGTTTTTATTGGTACTAAAACGTCGGTTGATTTTTGATCAACATTTATTAACCAATGTTTTAAATAATAATATTTTAGCTTAGAATTAACAACGAACTAAGTAACTGTAAGCGGCTGTAGAAAATTAATAATGTGTTAAAGTTACTTGTGCTTCTGTAAAACATATTAAATATAATTATAAACGTCTTAATTTACAATTTTTTCTGCCTGTCTCTGTACTTCATTATAAATTTATAAAAAATATGGATAGAGCCGGTATTTCCTATTTGATTAAAAATTATTATTTGATAAACAAACGACTGAAACTGTGAGTTACTTATTTTATTTGAATTTGCTTATTAGGTATTCCCACCTACCACGGCACTAGCATATTGAGACATGAGATCTTTGCACTTTAAGTTGACAAAATAAATGCATTTAGAATTTTATGTTTGAGAACACCTTTAAGGTTTTTAACAAAATATAATTGTATTATGTCTCAATATCTTAAGTTTATTACAAAGTACTATAAGTGTATTAGTAAGAACACAATTTTTCTTTGCCGCGTCAGTAATATTGTTCGAAATAGATTGTCAATGTTATTTTTTTTAATAACTGTACAACCTAAACGCAGAGTTCTCTTCAACAGTATTCTCTTTCACCTAAAGAGGTTCCTAAATTTAAACGAGAGAGAGAAAAGTAGACAGAGTCTTCTTATTTGTATCCATAGAAGAAATTATTAAGCATAAGTAAGGCAAACTAAATTTAATATTTATATCTTTTATGGATCTCAACAAGAATCATTAGTTTATCATTAAAAACACGTATAGGTATGTTTTATAAGACTGCCAAAAAAAATTTGGCTTTATGCCATATGATCAGTAAATCTTCAAGTTTAATAAAAAAATACCACAGATCAGATGCAGTAACAGTTAGATAAATTTAAGAAATATTGTTAATACACATATTTGTCATAAAATCAATTGAGGGCTGTTTTTTCAATGGTTACATAAAAGTTATCTGGGGAATAATTATGATGCTGTCGAGTCAGAATGTTTGTATAAGACAGTGACAGCAACAATTTTATTCTTCAGATAAATTTAACTGACTATTAAAAAATTAGCCCTAAGTATAACAAATATCCTGTACGTATTATGTGCATATGTGAATACATAACTATTAATTATATAATCGACGCAGCATTGCAAATCATGGATAATAAGTTATTTTGTATGGAGTCTTTGTATGTTGAAGGTTTAGGGAAAATTCTTGAGAATTTAACTTATGTAGGTATTTAGTATAACTAGGTCATTAAGTTATAATTACTTAAAATATTTTTGAATGTATATATTATTATGTATGTTTGTGAAGTGAAATCTACCAATTAAAATTGAAGTAGAAATTAGACCGACTAAACCGAAATGTTCTATAATCGTTTAGTTTACATGATCATAAATGCTTAACTGTATAACTTTCCTCAAAATGTATACAAATTTGTTTAAATGCTTTAGAAGATATTTGGTCCCAGGACTTAATGACCCACCTGATAAAGATTTATGTTTTCTTTATTTATTATCAACCTGTTCATAAAGTCAATTAAGAGCCTATTGCCACTCAGTGCGCAAAAAGGTAACGCGGCCTAGGCTGGTTTTTAGTCAGTAAGAGTCTGACACTCCCTCTTGCCTCACACTGGGCGAGAGAAACAATTTGATGTTTTTCCCCCTCCGAAAAAAACTTTGCATTTTCTTTGCCACACATATAGCTCAAAACTCTTGATAATCGTAAAATATTTCTTTAATACTTTGCGTTAAATAAGATCGATCAAGACTCAGCAATCAAACTTGTAGCCATTCTTAATACCAATGAGATATGAAAATAATATTTAACACAATATGGATCATATTGTTATGCAAATAATCCAGGCGCTGAAAGATACGCCTAAAAAATGTACGACAAATACCTATATTTAAACTAGCTAATCTTTTGAATCAGTAATTCCGGAGATTGTCGCGTTCAAACAAATAAACTCTTCAGTTTTATAATATTAATAATAATAATAAAAAGGGAGGGTGGAAGCTGTTCGTAAGCGGCGAGTGGGCCAGTGATGCAGGATGCTTAGGCAGATGCAGATGATCTGAGTAGAAAGCTGGTGGCAGTTTCTTCACCCTTCAGCCACTCACATTTCCGTTGTCCCTCTGTTGCTATTACTAGCAACCATTCCCGGGGGCCCGGTCAGTGAGTTGGCGAGTCTCCGCCTGCCATTTTTACGTGTATAAATTACATTGTTTCGGCAGGTGCCATAGTCCTTCCATAGTTCCCATCCTACTAGCCCATAGCAACCCACACCCATAGCCTTGTATTTTGTTTCCATTATCCGCAATAGTCCTACACTAACCGGGGACTGTCCTTGGGTGCATTTCCATAGTGCATACAGGGATAGTCGCCGGTTTGTGTCCCATTTCATTTAGATTAAAGTTGTCTAAAGGGCCTCTGCGCAGTTGGCTCCGGCCCCTCGTACGCCTTCCAAATGACCGGGACCCTGTGGTCCCGTGATTGGTAGAGACATACATAATAATAATAAAAAGTATAGATTGGTCTATTTTAAATAATTTATGGACGTAATGAGTAAAATAATTTCTTCGTCACTGTTATTTAAGAAGTAATATTGACTGTTTAGTTCAACGTTGTAATGATTTTTGGATTTTAAACAAGTTCAGTCAAATAATATTTTATTAGAATTCATTCAAATGATTCTAGTAAACTACAATGAATACACTTGTTTGTGTATTGACAAAAGCATCCAACACTGTTAAGAATAAATATCATGAAGCCTACCTTAATTATGTTAAAGTTTTCATGGATAAGACTGAAAAACAATATTTTGATCGAACGAAAATCGTGATTATTCCTTGTCACGGATCTTCAAATAACTTTACATATTTTTTTTAATTCTATTACTCATAATTTAAATACTTTGTGCTTAATAGGAACTGAGTAAATTAGTCTAAATAGTTTCATAGCACTCAGATTGAATGATGAAATTGGAAAACAAGTGAGAAATTCAGTGGTTCAGAGAACAAACAGGAGATTTTACTTTAATTTATTCAAAAATCCAAAATGATTGTTAATGATGCACTTAAACTTTATACCTTCATGCAAGTTAAATGTGTAATAAAATAACTATAAACAAACAAAAAGTGAAAAGTAAACAATTTCTTACCTTAAATTAAATATAATTTTCTTTCGTACACCATATTCTATACCTTGTCATATCGTACTACACTTTATTATTTATTTATTAATAACGAATACGAGTAATCTATTAGCTAATTATTTAAGATTATGTTTTATAGATATGTTAAAATTAGTTTGATATGTTTTGTATTGATATTCTTTAGAGTGGTTGTTGTATTATATACAAGTTACTCTAATTCAATACGTAAACATTGTTTGGAAATGTTAAGTTAGATATGCCTATGTTTTTAATACTTTATACGACTCTAAAGAAATGGTCACACCGGGGGGCATCACTCTTATGGGAAAATTAACTCAAAACTTTGGGTGAAATTTCACTAAATCAGAGTTCGGGTATAGGTGTTTCGGAATGTTGTTGTCGTAAGATAGTGTTGTTACCGATTCTACCCTTAAGAGTGATGCGCCCCCGGCGGGCGCGCCACGTGACTGCCGGCGTTGCTGAAGCTTTGTGTTTACATCCCCTTAGCCCCCACCCCTCCCACGCGAACTCACCCCCGCTGCCAACCCATCCCCACTCGTCATATTGTTCGAAATTTTTCTCTTAAACAGGAAATCTGTTCAGAATTTTTCCATTGTCAAAACTAGTTACAATAATACCCTTCTCTTCTTGTGAAAAATATACGACCATATTGAAAAAATCATATTATTAATGTGTTATGAAAATGAAAATACTCTGACATTACACATTTTAAATAACTTTTAAACTAATTTAGAAATTTATCTTGGGTTAAATCATTATAACAGGCTCAACTCTGTGAAATTGTTTACGAAACCTAACTTTTCGAAGATAATGTTTCATGATTTTTTTTTATTATATCTACCCATTTAATTATTGAGACGAAAATTGAAAAAAGCTTACGAAAGTTTTGTAATTAGTAAAACTAAGTTTTCGTCGAAGTACGGTATTCTTTTTTAAATAAAAACACAACTTCTAAAAGCAATGACCATCTTAGCAAATAACTCTGGGAAACGACTCGACGGGGCCTTTGCTCAACTGGAAACTAAGATAAGGGGATTTACGCCATAAAAACGAAATTACCTTCACGCCAAGTAAATTGGGAGCGGGAAATTATTTATTACGGCAGTTGTTTTTCGCTCTAACGTGTCAATTATTATAGTTTAGGGGAACCAAGCACTAACAAATCTGTCCGAATAATCAGTGGCTTTTTTCAGAAGTGGTGTTAATAACAGGTTTTTTTTTATTCGGCAAACGAGCAATCGGATTACCTGATGGTAAGCAATCAGCGCCGCACGTGTATACCCGCAACGATGGAGGAGTAACGAGTGCGTTGCCGACCTTTGGGAATTAGGAAGGATTGGGGGAGAGGACGGATTGGGCCTTCGGTAACCTCACTCACACGGCGACACACCACGCTTTGGTTGCTTCACGCCGGTTATCTGTGCGGCCGTGGTATCGGTCCGGTCGAGCAAACCCATTTTTGCCGAAGGGTGGTTCTCCCACACTTCAAAATAGTTTTGTTTTAATTTGCATTTAAATTCATTAAGCTTGGCATTGAGTGTCTTTTCTTCTTAATCGAATTAGGAAAAAATACCCTTATCACACAATAAAAAATACCTTAACAATGCCTAATTAACATTACCTATATATTGTTGAATATGTTATGCCTCGATACCAAATAAAATAGTATAGTGTAGTAATAGACTTAGTAACTATTTTATTTGTATGACATGAGCCATTATAACTGGGAAATGTTTTAAAGCAAAGATTAGTTACAACTGATAGTTGCAGCGCAATTATGTGCCTAATGGCGTTTCTCCATTAACGGCACACGGCGACAACCGTAAACTGTAAGCTGGTTTGTCACGCCATCATAATCACTATTACTGTCCTACCATTCAATGCAGGGATTTCGATATACCTTGCATTTTCAAAATATGTATTTATATCGTATGTAGGGAGTAATTACACTAGTTACCTAAAGACGGACATGGGTTTTCTATGTGATTATTATCCCTTACCTAATACCAGAGAAGTTACGGTGCGTTGCCAGCCTTTTAGAGATTAGGGTTTAAGAGATTTAGGGTAAGGGGAAGGGTTGGGCTGCCAGTAACCTCACTCTCATGGTAAAACATAATGCTGTGGTTGTTTCACGCTGGTTTTCTGTGAGGCTGTGGCATCATTCCGGTCAAGCCGACCCATTCGTGCCGGAGCATGGCTCCTTCACATTTACAATGATTCTTTATTATTTATTTTAATTCGATAAATTTTAAATATTATTTGACTGACCAAAGCCAAAACTCCTAAAAATTAATAAATCGTCCATTCAATATTGTTTGTTTTACCTTATACTCTACGTAGGTTCCTGTGTTCCACTGTTCCCCGAAAACGATAACAGCGCCATCATCATTCAGCAAAAAAAATTTCAAGTTACACAATATTTGGAGGCGTTTCGAAAGAAACTGTTCTGGTTGTTTTAATCCATTTGTTTGAATCAAAATTTATTTTAACCCTTTGTGACGCCCGCTGTGCAGTATAATTTAATTTTAATAAAATACAATTAGTAACTTTTGACCAGTACTGTAATGTAATGATCATTATTGATGGTTGTAAATTTACCATTATACGAAATTACAGTTTCATAATTTTCATCTAGTTCAGCTATAGACCACTCCAGTAGGGGCCCAACGGGACTGATGTTCAGCCGGGGTTGCGGGGTAAGCGCAATAAGGTACCGCAGCATCGGCCTTTAGAAGTAGAAGGAACGGACACATTTTTATTCAGTAATAATTTGATACTCCCTCAGGTCTTGATCTGGGCGAGGGAAGTCATTTGATGATTTTCAACTCACAAAAAAAGTAAACTCTCCGCATATACTGATATGGTTGTAATCTTAATAAAAGTCTAGATACCAATTTTATTCAGATACAAATTTGTACTATATGTATTAGGTTTGGGAAAGTCTTTTCGCATTATAGTGTTACTGTAATTAGGAAAATGTGTGTTTTTCATTTATTTCTCGTTTTGTCAAGAAGAGTGAATCTGTTGAAGAAATTCATTTCATTCATCATAAGAAAGTGACATTGAAAGCCAAAACGCGAAAAAAATTTGCGATCTCTAGGAACCTGGAACAGTGTATGTATTAGTAGCATAAGGTTTAACGCATTTTCATTCTGAAAATTTTGATGTCAAAGATGCACGTCGCTCTGGTCACCTCGTCTTATCTAAACTCACTTTTTCAGTGGAGCAAGATGGGTATATGGATGGAATTGACCAGAAAACAGGTTTGGAGCATTTAAGAAAAAATAATCAACAGAATGGGTGTGGTATATATTCTTATATAATATTTCTTCATTTCATCATGATAATGCTAGATCTCACACATATTTAGTCATTCAGCAATCTATACTAATATTATAAAGAAGTAATATTGGTAAGTTTTTATGTAGGGGGTAGTCTTTGGAACCGATGGTTGGATCGGCAAAATTCTTTCACTAATATACAGCTACAATGTTCCTAAGTGCTATAGGCTATACAAACGTCACGCTACGATCAAATGGAGCCGAGTAGCGGGTGAAACCGCGCGAGAGTAACTAGTAATTTATAAAGAGGAGTAAGAGTTTGGGTGGGAAGTTTAATCAGCCAAAACCTAATCCACCGTATAGACCTTCAGATTTTCAGCTTTTACGGGCTCTTCAGAAAACAGTTTCAGGATAACTTCAGAAGAGGACTTCCAAAACATTTTGACGCGATACTTTGATCAGAAGTCCCAAAATTTCAATAGCAATAGGATTATGTGTACCTATAAGACGGAAATAAATTTCGAATAACAAGTTAGTAGGTATTACTTTAGTTAAACATAATTAAACAAGACAAAGAAAATGTTTTAATTTTCTTAAAAAGTGCGAAGTCATAGTGGAGAAGTAGAATTTTATAAGACTTTTTTAATGCTTGATGTTTAACCTAGCATTTATACAAAGTAAACCAAACAATTTATTCTAAAATAACAAGGTTTTACTAAAAAAAAAAACATAAGATTTAGATGATAGAACACACTTGCGAAACAGGACAGTATAAGTGGCTGATAATACCTGCCCATGCCAGCACCGCCACCGTTTTCCAACAGTTTCTGTAAAGTAAATCCTCTTATAACGTAAGCTACTCTAATTGGTACACTCTCGTACCATAAGTAGCTGTGCAGTACCTCGTTAAAGAATATTTACTACGAATTACAAATACAACATTAATAACAACACAATATTTATCGAAGTACATTATTTAAAAACACGTCGAAATTAAAAAAAATCTATTGAATTCTAAAGCGGTTCGTTTCATCATTCGAATATAATATTAAAGCTAGAGTTTCCAAATAATGATTACCAGATAAAAATAATGATTAGGAGATATAGTATTCATAACGACCGATGAATGAATGCTTATTGAGAGATCGTTGCAGACAGCCTGCGGACAAATCATTAATATGAACCGGTATTCATCACCATGGCGGCATTGAGAGCCACTGAATGCTATCCCGAAATAATCTCAGTGGGGTTCGGAAAAATACTCGCGGGGTGCTAAGGGGAGCGGGGTGCACAACAACGGCCTCGTTACGTCAGTTCCGCCGGATGTCGCCTCGTGATGCATTGTCGACGCCTTAGGAGGGTGGACATAGATGTTTTTATTTTCATCGCAAACATTAATATGTTCAGTCGGCCATACTTTATTTATTATGATACGTTGAGCAAAACAAATTGCTAGCTGCCGTTTGATTTAGGTACCCTACCTACTAATATCAAGACAAGAAATATTGTTAAGATACTCTCAGTAACGTGTAAGTAATTACAACGTTAAATGTTATTACAGCTACGTCTTTATCCTGAAGCACTGATAATGATCATCTGAAAATAATTACGAGTGCTCAACGCGTCAGCAGCTGTCCACATTATGGGAAAGTAATATTGTGGATGCAACCGAGGTGTCTTTTCGGTCCAAGCCCCTCGGGAAATCACGGTAATCCGCGGTGTCGACGGCGCGTCGGCTAAATCTCTGTCGATCGTAGTGCTGCGACAATATGGCCATAATGTTAATTGATATCTACATCTGAAAAATATTGTATGTACATTTTGGGCTTTGTACGAATTATGTAACAATATACTTAGTAATTCTTGCACCATGAAATCTTGTAAACCTCTCCACAATTTTTATCACTTTTTATATTGTTTTATAGGGTAGGTCGGCAAACGAACAGACAAGATTATCTGACGCCCGCAACACCAAAGCACTTAAGAGTGCCGGCCTTTTGGAGATAAGGGTATCGGATATTTAAGAATTGAAAAAAGTTGGGGAGAGGGGGAGGGATTGGGCCTCCGGAACCTCAATCAAACGCGAAAGATGACGCTGTGGTTATTCCACGCCGGTTTTCTGTGAGGCTGTGGTATCACTCCGGTCGAGCCGACCCATTCCTGCCAAAGCTTAGCTCTCCCACACTTAAATGATATCAAACTTATCTGTTAAGGAATTCATCAAAACAAGTAAACATTTTACGTTAACGTAATGTAAGAACTAATTTATGTTTTGAGCAACATTTTCCTTGTTTATGTAAATGTAAAACTATACACAATGTAAACCATCAACATCTTACGATGATCAGCCTGAAAATATCTACCGGTGAAAGAAAATTTAAACTAAAAAAAAAACTACTGTAAAAAAAGGTTTTTATCCTCATCTCTAGCTAAACCGCAGCTGAATCCAGAGATCGTAGTGAATGGACTCTGATGAATCATGCCCGTTCACACGGAACGATGTACCACGCATTAGAGACCCGATATACACACTATGGGAGGGATTTAAGCCATCAAAGAGGTTTTCTGAGGTTGCCCCTCGAAAAAATATTTAAATTTTACTTATAAAGTGAAAATCATATGGTAACGTAAACGTTGTGATTTTATTCTCTAAAAGCTAGATAGCTACTTTGAGATCTACTATTGCACTTTACAGTCGTAGTCTACAAACACTACCATGTTACAAAGATTCCTTATTCTAGATAAGTTCTTAGTTAAAATATGATTTGCCAACCTCTCAACTTCGAGTAGGCTCAAGGTTACTCATTACTTACAGTAATTATGTAATCTATCATTCAACAAAATACGCGATGAAGATATAACCAACCTCCTTAGTGGATGTCGGCAAAAAAAACAACGAAACTGAAACGAGTCATCAGCAAAATCTGATTATTAAATTAACCGATAATGAAGGCTGTCCCGTAGCATCTGAGATGACAATTATCGAGTTGAAGACGAAACTGTGGGGACGTCAAGACTCATAAGTCTTCATTACTCAGTTCTCGAGACCAAGTTGCGGGCTCGGCGAAACTTTGGTGCCGATACTGACTATACTGGAGCTTTAAGATGATCCCCTAACGATGTCCACCCCCTTACAGTCTGCACATTTCATCCAAATCCTTTGGCAGCTTCGAAAA